GGAGGACTCACTCGTCTGCCGTAGACTGCTGCGGCAATCAATATCCACATATCACGGGAGAGGGGACTGCAATCAAACCATGTACAGTTACGTAGCCCCGTTTTACTCTAATCTGCATTGTATCGGTCGGCATGAATTGCGCATTCTGTGCACACTGATACACTTTCAAAATTTCTTGCCGTAAAAGCTCTTATGAGATGGGCAAAAGAGATGATATGTGTGAGACCATGCGGTAAAGAATGGTATAGGAGAATATTACAACAGCTTATGAACTAGGCTGCTAGACGGTACAAGTAATGGTATGCGGAGTGTCACCATAGGGCTGTGAACGGAGAAGTGAAAGGGAGAAAAGATGTGTTGCCAGAAAAGAGGGAACAAGCGGTAGATATAAACCGTAACATCCTAGGTGATCTACAGTGGTAGAAACATGCCTTACACCCACCAGAGATAAGAGCACCGTCCTTCCGACAGAAAGACTACAGCACGCAAACACGATCAAGCCCGTTTATTCATATCCCTGGCATAGACAGGCCTCCCCGCTTCCGCTTGCCGTTGATTACGGCTTCGCCGTTTGCGCTGCTATCGCTCGCCCCTGCATCCGCCTCTGCACTCCCGCTCGCCTCGCCATCGGGCTCAGAAAGGTAATCCGTCGACCGGTTCGGGATCGTCCGCGCCGCATGGGGCACAGGGGAATCGGACAGGTCCCGCCGGCGCGCCGCGCCGATCGGGTCGATGTCGATGTCGTCGACGTCCTCGGGCAGCGCCGGGAGCGCGGCAACGTCGTCCATGTCGACGTCGCCCGAGAGGTCCACGTCGTTGTACTGCTGCGTGCGCCGCCGCAGGCTGGGGCCGAGCCGCGCGCTGCTCATGTCGGGCTCGACCTCGGTTTCGGCGCCGGCGTCGCCGCGCTCGCGGCTCGTCTCGTGCAGCGGCCCGGGCGTGACGGGCGTCGCAGGCGTGATGGAGGCGATGACGGCGGACACCTCTGCGATGCTCTCCTCGTCGGCCTCGATCTCTACTTCGACGTCCTCGTCTAAGTCGGCGAAGGTTCGGCAGAGTGGGCATGAGAACGCCGGGTGGTGCGTCTCGAGGAGCGGTTTGATGCACTTGTAGTGGAAGGCATGCGAGCACGGTGCGATGAAGAGGGCTTGTTGTATCGTCACGGAGAACAGACCTGAGAATAGCCATCAGTTTGCGCATGCGTTGACAGCGTTGCCCGTTGCCACCGACTTACAAATGCAGCAATCAGGCAGGGATGTTTTGGTAGCTGGCTTCTTTCCTGGTACTCCAGGAAGTTTCGGGATAGCAATTTCTTTCAGTTGCTTCAAGGCATTAGAACTGTTGCCACCATGGTTAGCATACAGGACCAACCAGGCACGGGTGTTATGCGACTCACTTGAACGGGTTCGAATGTGCTTGCCACTCCCTCCCCACTTCTATCTTGATTTTGACGCACTTGTAAATATCTTCGGTGCCACCTTGGTAATCGACCCCGAGTTGGAGCAAGTCACCGTCTTTGATTTCGCTCGGACGAGACTCTGTGTTGGCGGGTGAGAGGCGGACGTGGTTTAGGAACGTGCCGGAACTGCTCTTCGTGTCCTTAATGAAGAAACGGCCGCCGGCCTCGACCCATATCTCGGCGTGTGCTCGGCTGACGACCTTGCTCTTGAAGGCGAGTTTGTTGGAGCCCGTCGCATTAGCAGCGGCGATACCCATACCGGACCGGTCTGTGAATCGCCCGATGCGTAAAGGTGCGTCACCCTCGCGGACGTCACGGCAAATGGGGTCGAACCGCAGAGAGCGGCGAGAGTCAAGGTGTGGCACGAGACGGATGCGGTGTGAGGGGCCTGTGCCCTGGTTGTTGTTGTTTGATGTGCCGATGGCGGGGCTGGTAACAGCAGACTGAGCTGTGCGAGCGACTGCGACGACGGGCACTTGTGGCGTAGCCTGTCCAGCGAGGGCACCAGCGGATCGTCTCCTACGTAGCATCTGTGAGAATGGCCCTGAGCTGGAAGATATTGATGGTTGGAGACTCTGGGAGAGAGAGGGTTGCAAGGCTGCGGGGCGTCTGCGGTGAGCTTGGATATCCTGGGCTGCGCTGGGCGGGGGGGAATCAGGGTTCTGAGCAGCGTCCTGGATGTGAGGTGAAGGATGTGATTGTGAGACGCCGCGTGGTCGTCCACGCAGGAAGGTGCCGAGAATCGATTGACGGGCGGGAGGCGACTCGTTGCCTACAGCCAAGGACTCCATTGTCTCCTATTATCCTGAGGAGCAAAGCGGCCTAAAGGATGGTAACGATGTGTTGATGAACCGCAGGTGGAGGAGATTGGTGATGGTGGGGCTTGTGCCGTCAACTTCGATTGGTGGCTGGGCACCACAGCCTCTTGAAGATTAACTCGGGCGTGGTGGACAGGTGTTGCGGGTGTTTTCTGGGCTTGGTCGACGAGTAAAGACGACGTATGCTCGTGGAAGAGGGAGGAGCAGGTCAAGAGCGAAGCTGGGCACAGTCGAGTCGGAACGTTCAATGCAGCCACCGACCCCTGAGACCCCGATCACCCCTGCACACAACCGACCGCCCACAGCTGTTCACTTTTGTTTCACTCTGCGCTCCCACCGTCGTCTGCACCCGGCCGCTTGCATACACTCTGCCTTGTTCAACTTTTCTCCAGCATGCAAATCTTTCGCAGCTTGGTCACTCGTCTCTTGCAACTGCCCGATAGACATCGCCGAGGCGCACCTAGAATACTCGACAGGGCGAAATCACGATCTCCTCTAAATTCTTCCGCGCAGTCCCGAGCGACGCTGCCTTGAGTTATTTGCGCAGAGAGAACGCGCTGTGGAGCATCTTACTACATCTTTTCTACATGCGAGAGCTCGACCAATTCCAGACCTGACGGGATTCAATTTCAGCGCTATCAGCATCGGAGCAACTAGTATAACTAGCCCAGATACGTCTATCTCCGACCTCTGTCCTGGCCTTCACGATTCTTGTCAGGACAGGGCCCGAAACGTGTTCAATCTGCAATGCTGTATGCTCCCAGCGACGATGCCTGAGGTGACAGACTTCGAGCTTCCAGACTGCAGACCCATCACAGCAGGGAGCAGCGATATTGGAGTGGGGTAACCTCATCAGGCTGCGATCGCGTTCTGTCGGGGTCCTAGCTTGGCGGCGGGTTGCAGCGTGCTAATACGACGCAGCGCGGCCCGCGCGCGCGACGCCGTAATTTACGCGACATCGTGCCTCTGCAGACCGCGCAGGGTGCCGCCTACTTGATCAGATCCCTGCCTTCGGCAATTTTGGTACCTATAGGGCCCTAGCGGTGCATCCCGCACTGTCTTCCGGAGCGCCGTGCTCGGAAATAGAGACGTTGCGGAGCTCGTGTACCGTGCATGGATGTGCGCGTTCCGAGCATTGACGGGCCATCGATGACCGCACCCGAGGAATGAGACGACCACGTTCTTCTATCGATAGCGTACAAGCATATATTTTTACGTCTACGAGCCCTAGAACAATAAAAGGATTTTCTCAAGGACCTCCTGCGAGCGCAAGAATGTTTGCAACAGCGTGCTCGGCAGCAGACATGAGCGTGCCCTGAGGATTACCCGTGGGCAGGTGGGGAATGATACCAGCATCGACACAAACTGCGTGCGCCAAGTTAGCTATGATGGTTGTTCAGTCCGCGAGCACTCACCAGATTGTTGGTGTTGAGACCTTGGCGTTTTCATCTACGACCGCGTTCTGGGCGGAGGACGATCGTCGTGGTCGAAACCC